TAAACACTCGACGTTCCTTTACTGTATCTGGTAGATCTGTCGACTTCAGCAGCATGCTGTAGGATATTTTAGCAAGTAAAGTAATACGTTGCAAGTAACATTATTTCCCATTTTTATGTTAACTGCCTTTAATTACACGGGCTACTCTTGCTGAAAGAGAAAGAGGCCACCCTCTCTCATCTGCCAGTCGTCCATGATATGGAAGCTGGTCACACAACAATGGCTGAACTGGTAGAACAGTTCATAATTGAGCAGGAGCTAGCAGAGGAGCAGATGGCACAGCTCTTCATGCATCTTGCTGCTTTGCTTCTCTGGCAACCTGGAAGCAGTTCTTTAAACTTTCTTTTCTGTCTCTGAATCAAAGTGCTACTTTATTGAGAAACACTGGCTAAGTATGCTTTTTAAAGTGTCTGTTTAAGCAGAAATACTTCTGAGATCAGAAACTAGCAGCAAGCTTTTATGTGCATCTAAATGCCTTCCTTGCTTGTTTCTCTGTCCAGTGAAGTGTCGGTTCCTCCCTTTCTGGGAACAGGAACTTCTGGTATGGACACTTGTTGGCTAGGACAGCTCACCTAGCTTTTCTCTGTCATCCTCCTTCAAAGCTGCCACTCATCTATTATTTTTCAAGACTCCCGGTAACCAATGCTTGGGTTTCTGTGGCCTAATTTCTCGCTGCAACCTAATTATTACTGTAGTCTTCATGGCTCCAGAGTTCTGAAGGAATCACAGATGACTTTTTAACAAAAAGGTGTTGAGAACCACTTGTTCGGCTGTAGGCATTTTATCGTATTTATGCATTTGGGGATGAGGGGTAAGCTACTTGAAAAGAAGTTCTGGAACAGGTTTTCAACAGAAATTTAGAGGTTTGTGTTTAGTTCTTCACTTTGAATATTTGAGATTTTTTTCTTGGTGTTTTACTTCGTGTTTCCTAGCGATATTTTTGAAGAAGAATTAGCCAAAGCTTAATACATTATACAATTCAGATTATATAAGAAACTTAGATGTAAATATCAAAGGGTACTTCCTACTAGAGAGAGGATGCCAGAAGGGAAAGTGTCCCGTTCAGGGAGTGACGAATAAACAGGAAGCTGATCAGCTCTGTACTGTTTCTCTAGCTGCCCTGTCTGCTGCTTGATCCTTTGCCTGTTTTTTGTTTTCTTTGTGAATTGTTCCACTAGCTTTCTGTGGTGTTGCTCGTAGGTTTTCGAGACAGAGTGGGAAGAGGGGAAAAAATAGAATTTCCCTTAACATATTGATGAACATATATGAATCTGAAAATGTTGAAAGATCTCATGCTGAACTTACTTACAAATTGTTTGCTGCTGAGGAGTTGTTGTTTAACCTTCCTGTGCTTCTTGGACTTATAAATTTAAGAAACAACATTTTCAAATGGATCTAGTGATTTTTTTTGTTGTTATTGTGTTTTTTTTTTCCCCTTGAAAATTTATATAATGTGTCTGGTCTACTCGGTGCTGGTAAAACTTCATTTTGAGTTCTGCATCCAGGTTCTTGCTGTGCAAGAATAGCTGACCCATTTGAAAGAGTTTGCAAAATAGCAGTGGCGGATGGAGATCACGAAAGCATGATCTGTGAGGAAGGAGGGAAAGAACTGAATGTGTTTAACCCAAAGACAAGTTTGAAGGGGAGCTAATATGTAATAAGTGTTGAAAGTTATAAAATGTTCTTTCATGGGAGAAAAGGAGCCATTTTGTTTTCTGTATTCACAGGGAATAAAAGAAATTGCAAGAAAATTCCGGTTAGATGTTAGGGGCGGAGTTAAAATAATAGCAGATAAGAATGTAATTAAATAGTTTGGCCAGGCTGTGAAATCTCCGTCAAAGGTCTGTAAGAAAAGGTTAGACAAACGGTTTTCGAGCCAGAGAACTGGGACGCTGTCTAGGGAAGGCAGTCTTAGGGGCCTCCGCTCCTGACTTTTCCGGGACTGAATCACAGAAAAACGTTTGAAGGACATGAAACAAGAGCCATGGAGGAGCATTTGAACACTCGGATATGTCTGCATGCTATTTTGGAGGCAAACGTGGTCTCACACAAAACAACTGATCTGAAAGCAGTACAGCTACAACAAACATGGCCCAGTGCCGAGCTGTGAAGGCCCACTGAGGGTGACACTATAGAGTTTCTGGGAGCTGAATTGGAATCTTTTGTCTTTATGTTGGCATTTTTTTGCTGAAAGACAAAGCAAGCTGAGAACAAGATGCCTTTTAATAGTTTTAGATACAAAACAAGACAAATAAAAACTTAGTAAGATATATCCAGAACACTGTGGTTAAACAGCATTTAACTATAAATCCAGTTCAAAATCCTGTGTTTGTATGCTTTTATTTGAGTTCCAGTTGAAGGTATGTGTAAATCAAAATAAAAATTAATGCTTATGTGACAGATCAGAAATGTTTCATTGGCTGTGTTCTAGCATGATATGTGTAGAAACCTCTGCAATGTGTTAGTGTGCGTTTATAGTGTGTGCCAGTTGTGATAGGACAAGGGGTAATGGTTTTAAAATAGAGGGAGGTAGATTCAGGTTGGATATTAGGAAAAAATTTTTTACCATGAGAGTTGTAGAACACTGGAACAGGTTGCCCAGAGAGGTGGTGGATGCTCCATCCCTGGAGACGTTCAAGGCCCGGTTGGATGAGGCCCTGAGCAACCTGATCTAGTTGGAGATATCCCTGTTCCTTGCAGGGGGGTTGGACTAGATGACCTTTGAAGGTCCCTTCCAGCCCTAACGATTCTATGATTCTATGATTCTATAGAGTTTCTTTTGTCCTCTTAAGAGCTGCAAAGGGCACATACATACAGAATTTTAATAGACCTACAGGAATTTTCCCTTTTAAATTCCGCTAGGCTGGAAGAACACTGTAATACAGTCTTAAAAAGTATTTGCGCTTAAAGGTGATTTTCTCCATGTAGTTCACTATCAGCATTCTTGGTTACACAAAATACAACCTGTGCTGTGTGGGTTATCACATATATAAGTATACATTCATTTCTTTCATGTACATGTGTTTTTAAATGAAAAGTATGTGTAGAACTAAGTAGACACTTCTAAAATGTATAAATAATAAAAAAAAAAGGTTTTATTTTGCAGTAAAACAGTGCTTGCTTGCTAGATACTGTTCAGGTGAGGGGGATGTTTACATCCCTTCAAATGCCAGTGATCCTTAGGCAGCCTTTGTTTGCATGACTTAGATGCAGCAAGTGCAGGTATCTGTCAGTCCTTTATCTGTTGGTTCAAAAGTCTATCACCAATTGTTTTATACCCCGCTCCAGTAAGCATCATCAGCCTCAAATAAAGCAGCTGTTCACCAGATAGCAAAACAGCTTTTTCTGTAACAATTAGCATAAGTGAAACAGAATGTACACAGAGATTTAAATATATACCATTTGAATACACAGATACAGCATATAAGATGTGCAAGATGTGTATCACTAACTGTAGTGGGTTTCAAGAATGCATTTTGGTAAGTGGGGATGTGGCTGTACCTGAAAAGTATGCCTAAGCTAACCTTATGCAAAAAGTCTTTCAGTCTTTACTGGTTGGTTGTAGATTGGAGGTTCTCACTGAGCTATTGTAAGATTAAATTCATTCTAGAAGTGTGTTATGCAATTGTGAAGAATAAATTAATTAGAACAGCTTTAAGGTGTTTGAGTAATACAAACAAGTTCATGACTGGCAGTCATTCTTTCAACACTCTGTGAAGTCTAATGCTGCATTTGACGCAGCAAAGTAGTACACACTGCTTGTAAAAATCTGGTGGATCTGGTTATTAAAAGCTGCATGTGCGCTTGAGCTAGGAGTCTAGTGTATGCACACGTTGTTTCTGTTCTTCCTTGTCAAACTATTTCAGACTCTTTACCTATGGAGAAAAAGTAGGAAATATGCTGGAAAATAATTAATAACCTCTGTGTGTGTGTTTCATAGTCTTTGATTAATTCGTAAAACAAGGCAGAAAACGGAAAGGTAGAAATGGAGAAAATGGGGAAAATGCAATACATATGGCTCAATAAGCCAAACTGCCCTTCAATTAGCCTATACTGAGCACCTCAGATTTTCTTTAGTTAGTGAAAACTAAATAAAAGTTAAGTTGCTGAAATAATTGCAAAATCAGATGTTTGGGTGGTGGAAGAACAGAGTTTCTTTTGATACTGGTTTTAAGTTTTATGCCCCAGCTTCCCTGTCAGAAAGCACTGTGGACTTCAGCACTGTGAGTAGGTATAACCCTAGCAGTGTGTAGATGTAAAAGATCTTGGTTTTTTTTCATGTAGCTAGTACAAGCTAGGGGGTAAAACCAGAAGAAGGTAGAATGAAGAGTTGGAGGACCTTCGGAGAAAACATGGTGAAAAGGGAAGGCTTTGGAAACAGATTGGGGAAGACCAGAGAGACATTAGAACACAGCAAGGCATAGGAAAGAGAAATAATTTGTCTTGTCCTTCAGGTTCTCTTAATTTAGGTCTCTGTTTCACAAACAGTTTGATTCAGGTCTGTGAAAAGCTTCTCCCACACAAAATAATTTAAGGGAGCAAGCCTCCAGGCGCACATTAAGAAAAGTCCTTGTCTTCTGTGATTTTACGTCAGTGTTCTTTTTGTCATGTGGCATTGCGTGTGCGTGTGTGTATTTAATTGTGCGTGTGTGTGTGTGTATTTAATGTGTAGGATAGCAATGAGTTATTTCTATGGATATACTCTGGGAAAACTGGAGTTCTTTTGCCTAAATATTGAGGAAGTTGTTTTATTTTTTTTATGATTTGTTTTGTTGTTGTTGCTTTCTATTTCTGTATGCAAACTGGAAATAAAAACAACTGTTTCACTTTACTATTTAAAATGTCTAGGTGGCATGTTATACAAGATCAAAGAATGTTTGTTTAGTCTCCTCTGTAGTGAAGAGGAGACCTCTGGGTTGCAAGAGAAAGGCAGGTGACTGAATTGTATGTTTTGTGGTCTTTACAGATAGACGTACAAAGCTGAAGAATCACAAGTTGAAATGAGTAACCAAGAGGCTGATGTTCTACGTTGCTGGAGATGTAGAAAATACATAGCAAATTCTGCTTGCCTTGCAAAATGTCATGGAAAAGAGCCATCCGAAGTAAGTGCAGCGTGTGGAGGGAGTTCGTAGCTTTTTCCAGTGCCATTGGTTTTAAATAAAGAAGTATTAGATGTGCCCTCACTTAGTAATTAATCTCCTGTGGAGAGAAGTACTAAAATATGGACAATTCCATAGAGAGTAATGTAAGTAGTAATGCTAGTGAAGCTGAGAAGGCAGTGATCACCTTTATGTTCTGCGACATTGAGGCTGGTATTTATGATACACTTGACTACTAGCTTGTGTAGAGTATATAGTGTTACCATTTTTCATATAAAAATGGTTTCTGTTTTTGACAATTTTAATGCAGTCTTTTTTTTTTTTTTAATATCTCTTAACAGAGAACTCTTTGTTTCTAAAGTGTCTTTTAAATACTGACACTAATTTCCACTGCGGTAGTCAACTGTGTGTCAAATATCCCTACATCAGAAACTTTTACTCTTCATTTTGAAAAAGTGGGGGATAGACTGTGCACAAAAGTTGTTCAAAAGATTAGCCTGCCCTGGAGGCGGGATTCCCTGCCAGGCTGAAATACCACTTAGTAGTTTACATCATCTTATTAAAATAAACAGAAAAATAATGATACATAATAAACAATGACAGAGTATTTCCTGCTGCTTTATAATGGCAGTTAGCAGTCGTAAAAGAGTCTTGTGAAATCTGCCAAGAAGATTGTGCTTACATCCTGGGATCTTGAATCAAAGTGAAAAAGCAAATAGAAGAGAAGGGGTTGATCTTTTTTATTTACGCACTAGAAATGCAGCAACATTCGTTTTTGCACTGGAGAAGGATATAACCAATAGAGGTAGAAACAAAGTTACGATATTTTAAGAACCTGATATAATTAGTATTATTAGTAAATCCCATTTTATTCATTCCACTTACAGAGCTTGAGGTTCTGGAATATTTTTCATGCTTTGTACTTGAGCAGTTTTTATTTTGTGCATAAAATTGAAACGTTTTTTGGGGTTTGTGTGGGGAAATTTCAACTCCTTTAATGAAAAAAATGTAGTGAAAAGAGTGAGGTATTTTTATCCACAAGCTTTTAATTGCTAGTGGAGGCCACCATCATTGTGCACAAGACTGAAGTAGCTCCTTCTCTAATTATGTAGATAGCAGATAAAAAATAGGTAATTTAACACTACTCCCTGAGACATTGGAAGGCAAGGATTCTACTGTGATGAGACAAATAGTGTATTCAGTATGTCAGCTTTCCCTGATGAATTTTAGGCATTCAGTCAAAGACATAGCTGAAATATGAGTAAAAGAGAAGAATCTTAGAACAAATCTTAAAACCAAATATTGAATTTATGAATGCAGTGTCAACACTTGAAGTCAGAATTCTATCCAAGTTGAAGTACAGGTACTCTCCACAGATAGGAGGAAGATGGTAGCATAGACATGGCACACGGATCTGTCTGTCTGCTGTCACTGGAGAATTTCTAAAAGCTTCTGTGTATAGCCCCGCTTTCCATTTTCAGCTTAATGAAACTTTTATTCCCCTAAGTTTCCTAATGTATTCATAAATTTTAACAACTGATTTTAAGACTTTAACACTCACCAGAGTTTCCTTATATTTTTATTCATCTTTATAACTTTACTGACATTCTAAACCATATTAAAGGATTTAATTACACTTGTATCACTTCTGTGCTAAAAGGTAGTTAGAGAATTGTTTTTATTTTAGTATAAGTTAGTGAAATGCTACAGGTTTTTAGATTTTGTTTTCTCTTCAGTTGGTCACATCATTGCAGTAAAAGCTCAAAAGTTGCCAACAGTCCCTGATTTCTCTGCTATTCTAATAAGCATTAGAAAATTAATTTAAAACTGTTTTGTGGCATAGCTGTGCAGTACTGACCACAGTCTCCATATAAACTAGAACTTAAATTTTCTTATCTTTACTAAAAAATTGTGTCAGCTGATAGTGCTTGTGAAACCAATTTCCGAATATACTTGGAAGATCAGCAATTGCATACTTTCTCTTCTTGTAAACAAACCAAAACCACCTCGCAACGCCTCCGTCTCCGCAGTGGAGTCTGTCTGATGTCCTTAGATTCAGAAATAGAGAATTATTGACAGCATCTACCTGATTTTTAGCTTAAAGAATGCACTAATATCTTCGAGTTTTATCACTTGTTAATAAAATATTTACTGAATTGGGGAAGCTGACTTATGGCTGTATTCAAACAAAAAGTTTACATGAATGTTGAATATCAGTATCAATACTATAATCATTTTTTTAACAGGCATCGCGACCTTCAGCTGCTGCTCAGGAGTCTTGCAACGTTTGGCATGTGAATGTAGAAGCCATTCCAGAGTGGGTGAAATGTGTCATTGAAAAGGTAGATCTTTTTTTTTTGCTTGCATCTTTATCATTCAAAATGTGAAATAAGTAAAGGGAACAAATTTCAAGGGTGCTTTTCTGCTAAGGTCTACATATATTACAGAGACCTTATAACTAAGGGAATTTTTCTCAGTAACTTCTATCATTACCATTTACAGAGGCTTTTTTCTCTCTTTTTTTTTTTTGCGTATGCATAAAACCAGAAGTGATAAATTCTGTTCCTGCCCATTTATAGATAAATGTATTTAAGTTTCTCTTACTAACTGTCATGGGCACCTCTGCATGTTTTGTCAATGCTTAAAATTACGTTAATTATCTAGACTTTGGGTTTTTATTTGTCTTGACCGTCATAACTTGCAGTACTAATCCATAAGCTGACAGTGACTGTCAGGAGCATGTTTCTCCATAAAACTGGACTGAGAGTTTGTTAAGAGATCAGTTGCTAGAATGTGATGTGATGTCTTTTGTATTTAAAGTGCTATTATGTCATGTGAATAGAGAGCAGCTACCTTCCTGAAAATTCAAAGGTCTGATGACAAGCCAGTGTCACTGCTTTTGAGCTTTAACTGCCTATTTGAAACTACAAACCATCTCATAACTTTGCTGTTGTACTGATTGCTTCAGTTGAGTATTTTCTTTATTTTATGTCTAGAAGTTAATGTTGTTGCATAGATATAATAAGCAGAAACAGTGCTTTTCTTTTGCCCTACAGTTTTTCTCTGATGAGTCTTTGATTTTGAGAGGCAAAGGATGTCTCCATTCCTTACTGCTTAGACTTCAGTGTCTGTTTTACTCTCTCGCAAGTAACTTCTGATCTAAGCAAATCTGCTCTGAAAATTATGCACAAAGAGAAAATTGTTATGACTGTAAAACTAAGCACTCAAAAATCAAGAAAATTTGCTTCATCTTCCTACATTGTTTTGCAATATGTTTTATTTTATTAAACATTAATTAAACTGTTTTCAAAATTAATTATCTCTTACAATTTCAGTAGTGCATGACAGAATACTGTAACTGTTTCAGAAACATTAATCTTAGAGGGGGGTGTGAAAATTAGGGGTGATGAGGTATTTCTCCACTTTACAGATTTGCCTAATCTTGAATGCCTGATGATAAGATTGAAGCTTTTTACAGTACTTTCTTTGCATGTTATATTATTTCAGTAAAATTGGATTCAGTGTTGATACTAACATTATTCTTTTCACCTTTATCTGTAAATAGCCAGCCTTCTGCATTCGAATGCCTAGAGGGTCGGGTTAGAGACCTGGGAAATAGAAAACCCATAGACTGCTTGGAAGAGGCTTAACGTAACTTGCTCCAGATTGAGTCTCTCAAGAGCAATGCTCCTCTGGTGGCAGAGACAGAGAATGCAGTTCTCTATGAACACCTTCAATGTCTTAGCGTTCCTTTTGCCCTTTAATGTCCTAGGAGCTCTCTCTTGCCTCGTTCTTTCCAGACTTCTCTGGAAAGATCCCATGGGTTAATGGATAAATGCGTGTTTTTTTTAAACAATTCTGACTTACTTCTGGATCCTCCTGGGCTCTGAATAATTTTGTGATCGTGTGTTATTTTCTCCTGTATGACTTCTGAATCAAAGACTAAATCATTTTACATAAGCACAAAGTCTATCTGCAGGCTGTAAAAACCCACTGCTTCCCAGCGAGTTCTTTTTTGCCATCTGTCCCTGTGCTTAACCGATCTCATTGGGTTTCATGCACACATTAGTGTATAGATAATCTTCAGTAATGATAAGTATCTAGCTAGTGCTGCTAGTGATCTTTATTGACCTGCCTTTTCTTTTCCCCATCACTCATCACTTGTTCTAGCTTCTTTGGATAACCTTTCCCAGTTTTTTCTCTTTATGCAGCCCATCATTTCATTTGCGTACGCTCGGCTCCTTTTCAAATCTTGCTGGTTTTCTCCCTACCACCTCCTCCACTCGTAGGTTGTTACTTCTTTTGCTGAGTCAATGCTTCCACGATCCGTTGCCAAACTCATGCTAAATCAATCCCCAACTCCCTGGTACTTGCACCTCATCTCCCAGTCTCTGTGCACATGGGACAGAGGGATGCCCTTTCTCTTCCCTACCATCTCTCGCATTTCCATTTTTACCAGGCCGCTACTCTTCTTCCCTAGCCTTCATGAATCACTCCTCCTCTCCGTTTGGAGATTCAGTTTCTATAGTGTCTGAGTGCCAGAGAGACTCACTAAAGGCACTAGAAAGTGGTTTTCCCTGAATTTTAGTGCCTAGCTCATGGCATCTGGGAAGTGAAGTGTGGGAGACTTACAGTAAATCTTGAACCAGCTTAATTCTCCTTTGAGAATAGCGTATGCACATGTCAGTCAGCCTTATAAACTGAGAGAGACTGTGCATGTTCAAGGATTTTTTGAGGATTTGAAAGCCTTTGGGCATATGTAAACTGAGATTTTTTTTTTCTCTAAGTCAAAAACATGTCCAGATTTAAACAGATTCTCAGAACTGCAGTGAAAGGCACATCTTTGATACTTTGTGAGATTTTAACCCACAAGGCAGGAGTAAGTTTCTTAAAGAAGTGTTTCCGGAACTTTTTCTAGCGTTGCATGTGAAAAAATAACCTTTTTTCTGCACAAGTTGTTTTTTTTTTGAAACTCCAAAATTGGTTTTACTGAAACTTTCTGAAGCTTTCAATCAGACAATCATCAGTCATGGAATCATCTTCCCTAACTACCTTGAAAGACATTTGCAACTGAAAGCAACACTTTAACTAGAAGTGTTGGGCAGTTTCGGTATTCATGGCTCAACTGCACTTTAGGCACACTAGTGAGTAATGTGTGACTGGAGTTGATAATGTTGTTCTTCTGGGCTTTGATCCCACAAACACTTGCATAACTTTAATCCTCAAAAGTGATTATGCTGACAGATAAATACATCTACTGAAAATACTAATAGTTGTGGAAATACGTAGGAGTTTATAGATCTTTGATACATATTTTCTGTTGAAAAAGTGCCTTTAGAATTGAAATTAAATTAATAGAATTACAAATAATGAAAATAACTGTCTCCTTATGGATAGTATATTAAGGATTTGTCATTGTATCTGCACACAGATTATATTGTAGTACTACATACACCAAAATACAAGTACCATTCCAAGCTTTCGTGGGGTAAGCAAAGTAGAAAGCTATATTCTGTTTGTAAGAAATCTCTTTCCACTGTACTTAGTATGCAAGAAATGTATCAGCACTCAGAAGACTCAGCTGAGAAACTGTGCTTGCCAATTCCAGATTAACGTGGTAAATTGATTTCACTGCTTTAAAGGATCTAATGTTTTCGTTAGTATTGCAGCATTATTCTATCTGTGGACAAATTTTAAGTGTATTTCAAACCTCCGACATTTTGAAATGTATGTTCTAGTTTTCTTAGAATTAGTTAATCACTGCAGCAAGCCAGGTTTTGACTAGAACGTTATTTATGGTGGATTTTCTTTCTACTGTGAAGTCTCTTTTATTGTGTTGGAAAAACAAAAAGTAAACCCTTTTATTAAAGGAGAAAAGTAACTCTAGTAATCATTTCTTAATCGTTTATTTATAATGAATGTGTTGGGTTGTTTTTTTCTTTTCTTGTCAATAGGCACAGTGGACAATTGGAAAACTGCACTGTCCGTTTTGTGAGGCCTGCTTAGGGGGCTTTAACTTTGTTTGCAACACAAAATGTTCCTGCGGACAGCTAGCAAATATACATTTCTGCAAAAGTCGAACTGACTATCAGCCAGCTTTCGCTGTTAAATTGGCAAAATCATCAGGAAAACACTCACCTCTCCTTAAAATTCAGTCTGATTTCAGCAAGGATACCTGCCATGAAGTGGTAACTTTGGAAATCAAAAATCGAGGGCTTCCATACAAGGCCAGAAATAATAACAGTACTGGAAGATTAACAGAAGCACTTTGTCTAGAAGTAAGAGCTCCCAGATTTGAGATGAAAAGTAAAAAACTTCTCTTAAAGGCATTAAATCAGAAAAGAAATCTTTCTGCTTCCTGTCCTATGAATGATGCGTGCATTGTAGAACCTTTTCACAGAAGATCACGTAGTTTGGATTTAAATAGCAGAGAGAGACTTGTTTTGTCACATGTGTTGTATGAAACTTTTAGTATGGGAACAATTTACCATGGACAAAATGAAAATCCACCTGTTTACACACAAAGTGTCTTGCAGTTAGAATCCAATAGGGAAGATGGTAGTTCTTTTCAGGACCTATGTAGTTCCAGTGCTGACAGACTACAAAAAAGGTTTCCAGTTACTTCCTTTACCACATTACTACATAAAGAAACAGAAAGTGAGTGTGATTTTGAAGCTACTGGACAATCTTCTGGGAGTGCCATTGCTGATGGGTCACCTTTTGTGATGGACTTTTCTTCACCCACAAGTGCTGTAGAACAGGAACAATACACCACACCTGCTGGTCTTGTGCAGCCTGCGGGTATTTCCTCCAACCAAAAGCTGAGTAAGAGAGAAAGAAACAAGTTGAAAAGCTTGAGGAGAAAACAAAAAAGGCGAGAACGGTGGCTGCAGAAGCAAGTAGGTGTTTTATGCTACTTTTTTTTTGTAAAGTTTGCCTCGCTTTTATAAATCATTCCAACTTTTTTTTTTTTAATCCTGTCTCTTAATACTGGTTTAACGTGGTGCTGTCTAGAGTCAGATATCCTGCAAACAAGGATTTATGACCTCTTCCTGCGTGTAGCTTTTCTAATTCAACGTGATCAGCTTTTTTCTGTGTAAAATCAAACCTTGGTGGGTATATATAACTAGTTTCTTTTGGCCTTCTTATTGTTTTGTGATCTAATAAAAAATTTAAAGTAGGAAGAAACACAGTAAAATTTAATTAGTGTGATTAAAGGACAACTAAACATTCAAATCTTCTCAATGAGAAAACCTGGCATTTCAGAATTTCGTAACTTTTAAGTAATGGCATTTTAAGTTAACTTTACAGTAAAGAAAAAGTTGTTTGCGTTTATTATTTATTGTAATATTTTTCTTTGAATAAGGAATTGATTGTTGCTATTTAAAATATTAGTCTTTAGTAGGTAAATATTTCATCTACAGATCTAACAGAAATGTTACATACTCTTATCAATTATACAACCATGGTTTCCTTCTTCAAACAATCCAAAGCAGAACAGAATTAAAGACCATAGATGGTCATGTAATTTTTGGTGCGAGGGAGGGGAGAAAAAACAGGAATATATCTCAAAATGGATAACACAGTTTGTGTTTGCTCTGAAGTTCAGTAGAAAGACTGAAAGATATGTGTGCCTTTAAAAGAAAATTTCTCATCATAAAATTCCTGCTATAAAATACTGTGTGGCCAGCAAGAGCAAACATAGAAAGTCTCGTCAGAGGATTAGTATCCACTTGAGAAATCTCTCCCGCTTTGAGTAGGCTTGTCATTGTGAGAATCTTACAATATTCCATAGATAAAGTGTAGTGACATGTAAAGCTTATGTAAACCTTATTTCACAGATCTTTTTTTAATGTAATTGCTTTACATTTTATGGTAGTCATGTCTAATTTAATATTTATGCCTTATTGAGAAATACTAAACTGACTTGAATGTACTGTGCTTAGGTTAGATATTAAATTGTTTTCATTGCTTTGCATTTACTGCAATAGAATATATGAGACCAATAGTTCATGTATGGATTTTCTGTTGTTCCTTTGTACCAAAATGATTTTCACTCTTAATATTCTGATGTTCTTACACAGTTCCACTCTGCTCTGACACCAAGTGACTTCAAGCTCTTTCCTACATACAGTAAACAGAGCCTTTTGAATATAGTACAGAATTGAAGCAGAATAGTGAATTCAGGATTGAGAGAGATACATAGAGGCTGTCTCTCTCAATTAAGTGTAAGAACCAGCCTGAAAATGTGATGGGTCTGGGACATACTATGAGACTTTCAGTATGGCATACGTATATTCTTTCATCTTTGGAAAGTTTTTTTGTTTGTTTAAAGAAAGATTTAAATCGGCGTTGTGACATTTTGAAAACTTATTGTGTCAAATGCTTCTCTGAAATTGAGAGTAAAGAACGTTTCCAAGATCTGGGTATCTTAATATTGAATACTTGTTTTCTAATAAGTCTAAAGAGTCTTAGATGTCCAAGTGCCTAAAATGGCTTTAAAAATTCCAGGCATTATTGTTTCTGTTAAATGCAGTGATGATCCAAAAGCACAGTATATATGGGAATTTGCACAGTCGTGTCATCTGCAGTCTCTCCAGCCACTTTAATCTTTGTTAGATATTACTTTCGAGAATAAAATGTTGTACAAATTTTCCAAATTTCTGGTAGCTGAGAAAAAAAAAAGTACTTTGAGGTCTTTTTCTTCTTAAACCTTGCTTAACCAATTCCTACATTACTTTGAAGTTTCATATAGCACATGATATATAGTTATTAAATCTAGTATGTCTAATCAGTAAGAATAGGGTTTACAAAGTACAAAAAAATAAAAATTATAATAATAAAAAATAAAAAATAAAAACAAAAAAAGTATGTGAAATTAATCATCTGGTTTTGAATAGTAGTTTTGAGGGGAAGATATTTTAGTTTTGCATTGATTTCTTTAACCTTGGTGAAAGTCTATAACTATGGCATGGGATATTTAACAGGCCTGCTTCTCAGACTCTGTGTCAAGCAGCACGTGTGGCTAGTGCAGCTGTGTTTCACACCACTATGGTATCTTGTCAGGAAAATACGGATCTAGAAAATCACATCCTCTGTATAGTCTGACATGTTGCAAAGAGAATGGCACCTCTGCCATGCACTCCTTCTCATGGCTGCTTCCCTCTCGTGTGCCAGTCTAGGTATCCTCCCTTTTCTTGCAAATTCCACTTGCTGTCCTTTTTTTTCAGTGTTCCGATACCCCTCCTTGTAATAATGTGCATGTTTTTGCAGTGGTACTTAACAATAGGAAGCTGATCTGCTGAACTTTGTAGTCATGATTTCCAGCATGCTTACGCATATCCTTAAGCAATCAGATAGTAAAACTTCACAAAGGGAAAAAAGCATAAACCTCTAAATGGATGGAGTGAGTTTTGATAAATGACAATGGGAAGTATTTAATTTAAGTGCTTTTTTAAGAAGTACTTCGGTGAAGCAGAAGCCTGATGCGAGGTGAATCTCTTTTAAGTTCTCTCTGTTAAAGGTACCGTGCATCTCATTTTTATATTTAATTAAAGCTTTTCTGGAGAGCAGTTCGAGAGAACAGACCTGAACAGACTTTGGAGTTTCTTTGTAAGTGCATAGGCTGCTTCTCTGAGTTTATTTGGTAATGTGGTAACATTATCCGTCAGACGTTTTTTCTGTTACGCAGTAAGCCAAAATGCGCCCATAAACGTTGTGCTGTGGCAGAACGCACTCTATTACTAAGCTGGAGTAAATAAACCTTGGATTGTAAAGAGGAGTGGTTCTGTGAGCTCCTGAGCTGCATGTGGCCCGGAGGCCGGGGCTAATGCAGGCTCTGTGGTGCGGGTGCAGATGGAGCCAGGCTGCTGACTGCACAGAGACCTGGGCTGCCTCTGCCTGCTCTGCAAGGGAAAGCTCCTCGTGCCTGCCAGGGGGGTTCCTGCATTTGGTGTGTGCCCATGTGCAAGCGTTTGTGTTCGTGGGGGATTTTTAGGTTTCTGGTATATTGTCAGGGGATGATGATAACTACTTAAGTCTAGGAATTGCCAGTATTAATAATGGTTCTTGTTATTGTTGCTATAGCTAAGAAGATGACTTCTGTTATAAATTCCATTTTGTGTATATCTCATTATATGTTTGCGTTGTTTGCTAATTTCTGAAGCTTGTAATGATTTTCTGACAGATCTCAGGCAGAAATACCATTTGTGGCTCCTCCAGTTTTATTTCATTTCGCTTCACAATCATTTTACATAGAGGAAGACTATGTAGCCAGCTTCAAAAATGCAGAATCCTGTTGGAAATGATCCTGCTCCATCAGAAAAAAATATTTTTTGGCCTTTTTGCTTCATATTATAACTTGACACATCACGAGTTCTTTTGTATCTCTTAAAACAGGAAAGTTTTGTCTTACAAAGGTGACTAGCGGTCAGTTTCCATTAACTGAGTTTACTTTTCATGCTCCCAATGTTAATCTGAAATCAGGACAGGGTGAGATACTGCATTGTTGATCCACACTGTCAAGTGCTGTTATCTTGCCCTAGATCCTTGAGTTTTCAAGTTCTTACTGATGTTCTCTAGCAGCTGACAGTCTTGTAGAGAAAGCACTAGGCTTCAAATATTTAACTTGTGACCATAGTTCACTTAATCTGTGCTTGTTTCTTTTACATGTGTACATTGGTTTGTAATTCTTTTTATTGCACTGTCATGTTTGTATTTAAACTGTAAATCCTTCAGGTGTCTCGTCATGTGTTTGTGTACTTGGATTTCAGTCACTCTTCCTATGATGATACTTAAAACAAGAATTACCCTCAGACTGCTTATGAATTCTTCAGCTGGGTGTTGGAGGGCTAAAAGCATTATTTAGGGTTGGTACCAAATTAAAACAGGAAGAGAAGGAGATGAATGAAATCACAGCTGGAGGAGGCAAGCAGTGACTAGAAAGTCTCAATTGTGGCCTTTGTTAGGGAAATACAAGGCCCTAGGGAAGTTGCTTAAAGTAAAGAAAGTGGAAACACAGGGGAAAGAGACAGTCCTAATCCCATACTCTGAGATCTGCACCAAAAGATAGTGGATTTAATATAAGGTAATACTCAGTTGAGTGACTGACTAGCTGTGACTCCCCAAAATTATGATTGGGGGATGCGGCAGTGGGAGAGCATTTTGACTCTGTGCAGTTCGTACTGTACCCGCATTAGCTTTCTCGTTTACTCCCTCAAGAGACTGTAAGAGAAATGAAGATCAAATATTAATATATACGTTTCCAGCTTGGGAAAGGTGGAAACTCTGATTTCAGTGTTCAAAACTACTCCTACTCTGGATGAGTTCTCAAAACAGAAGTTTTTAAATTCTGTACTTAACTGGTTGTACTTACTTTTAAAGCACGATAAACTTTGAGATAAAGAAGGCTGAAGTGCTTCTGTGTTAACATGCAGTTGCAGAGTTCACATTCCCTGGCCTGATACATCTATGATTTACTCTTTCTGGAATAGTAGTAATGAGCTGATGGTGCTATAGCATTTCAAGAACCATTGAGCAGCCAGGCTGCAGGGTGTTACACTCACATCATGTTAACGGGCAAAGAAGAAACACACGCTGTGTACATCAAGCCAAGAATTCATTCTTCATGTAAGTAAAATCTTAACAGGGTGCTTTTTGTTAGTCCAGGTTTAATTATTAAAGAAAAGAGAAAGATTAATATTGAGTCTGTTACACACACTCACTTGTTCCTCCCAGTTCCTGTGGTTCTGCCCATGGCACTGCGCCTTGGGGTCTGCGGGCTAGCAGCAGACCTTGGGGTCTGGTGGGGTGGAGTGTCACCGCGGTTTAGCAGCATCTCAGTCCTTCGCTGGGAGTGATATGGTGATCATATTGATGGTTTCTTTTTCTTTACCCCAGA